CAATTCCTACCCAACAGGCAGCTAGAGCTCGGAAAATAGATGAGAAAGCATACCTTGATCGCAAGATTTGGTGGCCAGAATCTCCGGAACGAGCTCCGGAAAATCTGGGTAAAAACCGGCCGTTTTTCTTCAATTTTCGGCGATATCGCTGCCGGCTGACGTCGGAGAACGGGTGGGGCAAGACGGTCTCATTTAAATTCATCAATTTATATCCTAAACCCACCATATCCATTTAACTCAACAACGCTCAAGACCTGTCACTAAGGTCATTCTAACCCTCAAAGAAAGGTAAGACTATCTCAGAAGTCTCACGGTCAACCTAGGGTCAAACGGGCCCGCGGGGCCCACAACCTCCAAATTCCGATCTGACAGTTCCTATAGGTTCTACAAGGTTTAGGACACACGTCCTGCAAGTTTGGTCCAGTTCCGACGGTCGGATCGCTCACGATCGCACGATCGGACGGTCACTAAAACCCTAGCCCTAGGGTTGGCATTTCCGGAGTATCTGGGACTCCGTTTTACGATCCGTTGAATCCTACACGATCCTGGTAATACCTAGATCAACATATTATAACTTCAGGACCATCCAACGGTCCAAACCTAGCGAACTCGAAAAATACGCGATATGCGATATCCGTTCGGGACTCTAACGGTACCCAAAATGAGATCCGAGCACATCTATCCACTCGTGACATCGAGAGGATCGCAGTGGGACAAAAATGCCCCTCAACTACAGTGCCCACACCCCGCCACACGCACCGGCAGCGCGTGGGTGTCCAAAGCGATATCGCATCGCCGGAAAACTTCCAAATCGTGAGCCAAGACTCCTACCCTAGGTAATACACCTAATTTGGAGTCACTTTTGTTCTTGGGCATACCCCAAAAACTGACCGGAAGTGGCCGGAATCTCCCCTCAAAATCTGGTCGAAGCCCAATTCGTAAATCGAGTTACCTACGCTACAAATTGATCAATTCCTACCCAACAGGCAGCTAGAGCTCGGAAAATAGATGAGAAAGCATACCTTGATCGCAAGATTTGGTGGCCAGAATCTCCGGAACGAGCTCCGGAAAATCTGGGTAAAAACCGGCCGTTTTTCTTCAATTTTCGGCGATATCGCTGCCGGCTGACGTCGGAGAACGGGTGGGGCAAGACGGCGGAGTCAGGCCGGTCATTTTACGACCGGTCCCGACCCGAGTTGTGGCCGGATGAATGAACGGCTAGCCAAAACGCGGCCGGCTGCGGTGGCGTCGCGAACCATAGGAGAGAGAAGGACGCGCGGGAGAGAGAGAGAGAGAGAGACGAGGGCAGTTCCGTCTTTTTATCAAAAATCCTTTCTCCAAATATTTACGATCGTGTTACTGAGCTTCATTCGATCGTAACTCTCTCGTTACAACTCCGATTCGAGCCCACTACGTGTCCACGGACTCATACCGTGCTCTACGCAACGGTACAACCGGAATTCCCAAATTCCTTCCGGATAAGAAAATGACTAAAATACCCCTATCCCACTGGTAAATTCTTAATTTCACTCAAATTAATTAAAACATGGGATAAATTTGGAGTCGGGGTGTTACAGACACAGTCCAAACCCTAATTCCCCACATTTTATTGGCTGAGAAGGGGGTCTTTTGCCTTGCTTGATGAACTCAGCCACTTAGATTAGGATTTTCAACGCCTTGTGGGGTCCAATATGCCACGTAGGCAGTTGCCTAAGTTCAGCAATTGGCCCACGTGGGTGCTATTACCATAATGTCCCTGCCACGTCAGCCTTTTTGACGACTTTTTGGATGGCGTTAACAGTTGGGGGGGGGGGAATTGGAGCACAAAACCACGGTCAATGGGGTAAAGTGGGCCATTTTAACTTTGGGATGGTAAAATGAGATTTGACCGAAGTTTCATGGGGTGCTACAGTAAATAAGCCTTAAAAAAAACACAGTGTAAACAGGTGGTCCATAATCCCTGTCGAGCACAAAACCTTTCACACCACGATTGGGATGAACATGTTAAAGGGGAGAGCATGGTTTCTAGTCCACCATTTCTTGACCATATGGGATGCATGGCTAAATCTTGACCATAGGGGATTAAAATAACACATTTTGCTAAATAAAAAATGCAAATTTACGTGCAGAAAAAATTGACATGCTTCAGACCCACTTTCCTAATTGTCTTTCTTGGGCCCACTAGGGCTCCAGCGCCATGAAATATAGCCATGCATGCCCTATGGTTGAGAAATGGTCGTCCAGATCTCAAATCAAATGTGAACCAAATAGCAGATTCATTCTCAAAGCGGCCCCAACTTGAGACTTAATAAAAAGACTTTAGATTGGACCATTTTTAGGGGCCTTGTGTGGAATGAAAGCAAAAGGGGAGCTTCGTGAAGTGTACCTGAAGATGTGGTCTGGGAATGAATAATGAAGCAGAAACATATGGGGAAGCTTTAGATAGATAGAAGAGGAGAAACTGAGGCAAAGTCCTCCACCACCTCGTATAGAAGAGAAGAGAAACTGAGGCAAAGTCCTCCACCACCTCGTCCTCCCTCCCGAACTGGAGAAAAACACCAATTCACAAAGTCTTGGTCAATCTGTTCACATTACTTTCTTGAATTTCCTGGAATTTCTTATATCTTGCAGTCCACAGCCCCTCCCACTAATTAAAGAGAAGCAGAAATTAGGTCATGTATATGGAGTTTCAAGGGAAGAAGCAAACCATCCTCTGCCTGTCCTTTGTGACCTTGTTTAGCCTTCTAGGTCTCTTGTGTGCTCCCAATATTGTTGTGGAAGAGGTTCATGTTGGTGTGATTCTTGATACGGGATCAAGGGAAGGAAAGATTATTCTCAGCTGCATTTCAACAGCCCTGTCTGATTTCTACCATCTGCATAATAACTACAGCACAAGAGTAATTCTGCACACCAGAGATTCCAAAGCAAAAGCTCTACATGCACTATCAGCTGGTAAGCCACATATTAACATTTTAGTCTTTGTACTATCAAATTAATATGGGTTGTGGACGGGAGAGAATCAAAATGGAAGGAAATTGAACTTTATGTACGAATTTGATACGAAAAAAACTTTATATAGCAAAGTGTAAATTTCGGGTTTCACCCTAAAAACAATTACAAGAAACTATCATTATATACTTTTATCTTTAACTCTACTCACGATCCTCAACAAAATGCAGCTCTAAATATTTTGGATGAGATCAAAGTGGAAGCAATAATTGGTGCACAAACAAGAATGGAAGCAAACCTATTGGCAGAGTTAGGAGAAGAAGCTAAAGTCCCTGTATTGTCACTTTCTGAACTTCGTACAAGTCCTTTTGGTGCTCCTGGCGAATATCCCTTCTTTGTTGAGATCGCACAAGATGAAACTTCTCAAGTTACGGCAATCAGTGGCCTTATTGAAATGTTCAAATGGAGGGATGTCATCCTTCTATATGAGAACACAGATTATGGGAAAGACATCATTCCATTTTTTATCAACTCCTTTGAAGAAGCAAATGTGACTATTGTATATAAAAGTTGCATTGCTGCCTCCTCAGCAGATAAACAGATCATTGAAGAGCTCCACAACCTCACGAAGTTGAAGACGACGGTATTTGTGGTGCATGTATCACATTTTCTTGTTCCTCGCCTTTTCTTGAATGCAAAAAAGTTAGGCCTACTGAGTGAAGGGTACGCTTGGATCATGACCTCAACTAGCATGAATTTCTTGCATTTTTCCATGGACCCATCTGTAATTGAGGCAACGCAAGGAGTGCTCGGTTTGAAGTCTTATACTCCAGCATCAACCCGCCTACATAATCTTACTTCAAGATTGAGGAAGATATTTTACATGCAGGATCCTAACATAGAAGTAAGTGCGGTAACCCCAGATGGAATTTGGGCATATGATGCAACTTGGGCTCTAGCTGAAGCAGTTGAGAGGACCTGGACTTCTACAGGATTGAACCTAGTGAATTTAAACAATATTACATCCTCCAAACATGGACTTCTGCTTCTTCAAGAGATATTGCAAACAAGGTTTAAGGGTATAAGCAATGAAGAAATTCAATATCCAAATGGGAAGCTAGTTTCAAGTGCATTTGAGATTGTGAATGTCATAGGAAAAGGGGAAAGAAGGGTTGGATTGTGGCCATGTGAAGAAAAACACACAAGAGATTCCTACCCACTTAATAACAGAAGAAATTTAGTTTCCACCAACGATCTCGAAAAAATAATATGGCCTGGAGGATCATCAACCATCCCAAGAGGTTCAAAGATGCAA